CACACGTGTGTATGTTTGTATGTATGTGTGTGTGTGTGTGTGTGTGTGTGTTCAAGTTCAATGACCAGAACCGGAAGCAACCCAACTATACAATCACACACACACACAAAACTGTGCGTCCCCCACCTGAGAGAAAGCTTAATTACTGAGCCGCCAACTGAGGCTGAGACTTTGAAAAAGCGTTGAGTGCACTTGAGGTAATTTGATTTAATTGTGCGTGCTGCTAGCAACAACAACAGCAGCAACAACAGCAATATCCACAACACACGACATACACATACACACACACTCTGCTAGTTGGTTACTTTGTGTGTGGTGTGGACGAAGCTCATAAGAAATTTACAAGTGTGCGGCGCCTGTTTTTTGTTGTAGTTCTTGTAGTTATTGTTGTTGTTTTATTTGCTTCTTCTTTTTCATTTTTTGCCAAGTTCACAACTCTTGAACTTTGCCCCGGCCAACCACTGGCGACTCGACAAGGAGAAGCCTTTGCCACTTGAACTGGCTCAAAACGTCAACTGGTTGTTGTTTTGCTTTCTCTTCTTGTTTTTCTTTTTGTTGTGCTTTTGGTGTTTATTCACTGTAAAACTAACCTGGCTTATATATCCTATTGAAAATAAATGTATAACTGAATCATTTTATAGCTCAGTACAGAGTCCCTATAGGTTAGAAAAGCAAAACTACTTAGTAAAGTTTCTGTTTGACGGAACTACAAAATATGAGAATTTCAAATGTTGGCTGCAGAGGCAGCGACAACAAATATGAATGACCAAGGCCGGGGGTTCCAATAATACAGCAATCTAGCAAGCCTTCAATCAATTTGTAAATCAATCAATTCGTTAATCCAACAATCAATCTTCCACTTAGCCTTTAATTTATCATTATTCTTTAACCTATACATCTTCCACGCCGTCATTGTTTAAGCACATTAATCGATCAATCTATACATTCATCTCTCAAGAAACAGCTCTAATTTTATCAATCATACATACATAGATACATCATATAGATTTGTAGACGTTTACACGGATTTGTAACCTTCTACAAATCATTGTTTTTGAAATTTTTGAAATATTCCGTTTCTCTTTAAGCCTCAATTTATTTTAATTAATAATTTATGATAACGTCATGTAGTTTTTCATGTTTCCCATTTTTTGTACATTTTTGGCTTCAAATTTTGCTACTAGAACTGGGTTAATTTATGAGTTGTGCGCGTTTCCGTATCCGTTTGCAATTACGTAGCGGAAATAAGAAATAAAATCCGCAAATCTAAGCAAAAAGAACAAAAATGGGCCCCCTTAGAGATCTCATTTGAATCACTTTCAAAAGGAGGGATAGAGAGGGAGAGAGCATTAAATTACTATAGGTAATTCTTTTTTCATATGTGTATGCATTCATTTATAAATAAATGCGTGCAGACATAGGTACGTGCATACGTAACATATGGACAACATATGGACATTCGTGCATGTATACATGTGTAAGTGCATACATGTTAACATTCAAAACTACATGCATGCATTCATATGAGTATAAGGAAATACTTGCGCATACATATTTTATGCATATGTACATACATGCATACATATGCAAAAATACACATATGTATATGTATATGTATATGTATATGTATATGTATATGTATATGTATATGTATATGTATATGTATATGTATATGTATATGTATACGTATATGTCTATGTATATGTCTCTGTATACTGTATATGTATATGTATATGTATATGTATATGTATATGTATATGTATATGTATTATGTATCTGTCTATGTACTATGTATCTGTATATGTATATGTATATGTCTCTGTATCATGTAATGTATCTGTCTCTGTATATGTATATGTATATGTATATGTATATGTATATGTATATGTATATGTATATGTATATGTATATGTATATGTATATGTATATGTATATGTATATGTATATGTATATGTATATGTATATGTATATGTATATGTATATGTATATGTATATGTATATGTATATGTATATGTATATGTATATGTATATGTATATGTATATGTATATGTATATGTATATTTATATGTATATGTATATGTATATGTATATGTATATGTATATGTATATGTATAGTATATGTATATGTATATGTATATGTATATGTATATGTATATGTATATGTATATGTATATGTATATGTATATGTATATGTATATGTATATGTATATGTATATGTATATGTATATGTATATGTATATGTATATGTATATGTATATGTATATGTATATGTATATGTATATGTAATGTATATGTATATGTATATGTATATGTATATGTATATGTATATGTATATGTATATGTATATGTATATGTATATGTATATGTATATGTATATATATGTATATGTATATGTATATGTATATGTATATGCATATGTTTATGTATATGTATATATATATGTACATATGTGCATATATGTTTACAACTGTACCTGCATACCTATATACACACACCAAATTTTTTTAAGGGGAAAATACCTTGTTATCACTTAACACTTCTAACACAAAGCATGAAAACCTCTATGTCTTACTTGAATTCATGAGAATCGAGGAGGAGGGCTTTATCGACAAATACGTATACCTTTAAAATTCTGCGCAGCGGAAAGTAAATCTGGTGTGTATTTGGCATAAGAGAACATATTTTCACATACATACATACATACACACATACATACAAACGTATGTATGTGCACACAACCAAATACATACATGTGTACATTCATCTTCCACTATATGCACCCTTCAAACTTGAGCTTCGAAGTCTGTGATACAGATCTGGGTAGACGACCTTGTTCTACCTTATAAAACTCTATCTAAATGTTAATAGATGCCGAATAGAGGATAATTCGCATTTTGGACACAACACAACTTAAAACTAAACAGCTGGATGGTTGCTAAAGGCCGCCCGCCATCCGTTGGCTTCCAACCACGCTCACTCCCACCTCATTGTCCCGCGGCTTATTTATTAATAATGCATGCGACTGCATTTACATACCCGACCCGGCGCCCCAAAATGTTGAGGGGCGTGGCAGCCGCGACGCGGTCAGCGATTTACACATGGAAAACAAAACGGTTTCACAATTTTAGACAATGTTGCAGACCTGCCACAAAGCACAAAACGGAACACACAACAAAACAAGAGAAAAGCAGACATTAAACCAAAAAATAGAAGCCACAAAAAAATTACACTTGAAAAAAATTCAATGCTTGTAAGCTGAAGATGTTCCGCAATTTCGTTTCAACGAAGCACGCATTTTGAAAAGGTGACATCGCGTCTGACGACAGACAAAAATGAAAGCTGCCTCTGAAATTAGCTTAAGGCTATAGATGCAACTTTCTCCCTTAAATGGAATTAGAAAATTCTGCAAAGATGTTCTGCAAATCTTCTTTTACGAAAGAGGAGTGGGCAAATTCATACGATTGACGAAAGTAAGCGCTGTTTATGAAATTAACTAAGAACTGCAGATTTCTGCAAACTCGTTATTTATTTTAAATGACAATATTAATGAAAATTATGTAAAGACATTCCGCAATGCCTTTTCCATCGAAAGTCCTTGCCAAATCGCCTGTGAGACTAAGATGTGCCCAGAAGCTTTGCCCTTACAAAATTTGTCCGAAGCTTAGAGACTAGAAAGAGTTTAGAGTAGCAAAAAAAAATTACATAGACAAGGATGCTCCCAAAAAGCTTTTCGCCTCGGAACAGTTATAATTGACAAATAAAACTAAACATTTAGTAAGCTGTTGTAAAGCTCAGTGTGCTTTTCGCGCTGACAGTTATCAAAATGATTTTTGAATTTAAACTCTTAATTTATGCTTTAATTGCATATTTCGCGCTCCAATGCAAATAGCCAGGGCGTTATTGTATTTGGGCGTTATTTATGGGTGTTGTTGTATTTGTATTTGCCGCACGACCAGAAAGTATGCAACGCATTTCATTTAGATAACCGCAAATATTTACCACAAATGTATTCGCTTCACATTTGTAACGTGACAAAATTCCCCAGTGTTAACACCGAACCGCCCCCCCCCCCCCCTCACCCCACCCCTCCTCTATGCAACAAAGATGCAGTGACAGTAAATTACGCGTGTGTGCATATGTGTGTGCGTGTGTGTGTATGCAGGTGCACGTATGTATTTACAATGTGCACAAAAAATTTGTTGCATACTTTTCAGCATAATTTATGCATTTCAATTGGATTTGATTTTGATTTTATTTTCCAGAATCTATCGAAAATAATATTTCCATTGAGATTTGTATTTTCGGGGGTGTGTAATTTATCAAATGTAATTCAATTGCTTACGCTTCAAATGTTTTAATTTAGTTTTTATAGCCCGCTCGCTTATCGATTATTTCCTGTTAACGATTAAGCGATTTGATTTGGAAACTGGATTTCCGTTGACGTTTACTAACATTTACAGTTCAATGTACAAAAACTATACGAGACCTATTTCCTCTCTTCGATATCACTCCTCTTATCGATATCTGTTTGCAGCTTACGCAACGGTTGTCGATAAAGTTTATGTCTAGAGAAAATTGAGAATAGAAAAAGCGAACGAGCGCTTCCTCAGTTAAAAGTGAACTTTACTAATTTCCTTCAGTTTGTTATTCTGCATAACTGTACGGTATATCGATAAACTCACTATCAACAATATATCGATAAGTAAATTAATCATTTATTCGTATCTACTTGGTTAAAAAAATAAGCAATCGACTGAGAGATAGCTATAGATTATTATATGTATATAGCTCTTATTGCTTTGATGAGCAATCGACAGCTATTGATAGGAATTGCCTTGACTAACAACCTTCTTCACTGTCTCTCTAAGCAATTTAACTCTACTTGTCCATTCATCGAAATTTTACAATCGCTATTGCTTTTATGTGCAATCGATAGTTATCGGTAAGCTGCACTTTCTTAGACTGCGTGGCTGTACTTGGCCAAACAAAAGGCAAATCGATGCGTTTGAGTTTTTTATTTTCAAACGTTTTTTGTTACTTTCGAGGCATGGTCAACGTAGTTACCGGCCGCTGCTTGGTACCAGGATGTCCAAGATCTCTGCCAGCCGTTTGGAGCGCAGCGAGAAGACATTTAGCTGACGCTTCAGTATGCCATACCTGACCGCATCCTGGAGACTGAGTCGCACTTGGCGCTGGAACTCGGGATCGGCTCGCCGGAAGCGCACAGATAGGGCCGAAATGATTTCCGTGTCGCTCATGGGACGTTGCGAGCTCTGCAGCACCTGGAGTATGGTCCGCATCAGATTGCGTATCAGGCAGCGCTGCTGCGGCGCCCGCTGCAATTTGTACCCCAGCTGCATGCTACACCAGGACAGGAACAGGGTCTGTAGGCCTGGACTAGAGAACGGAAGGCATATGGCTGGACCGAGCAACAGGACCTACAGTTGCATCCGCCTCAAAATTCGATTCGGAGAAATAAATTAAAATTTTTTTTTTTTGTGTTATTGTTATTGTGTGTATGTGTGTGGGTGTGTGTGTATGTGTAAGAGAGTAAGTGTGCTCCAAAATGTACAAAGGAAGCAGGCCTGAAGTTTTCGACAGTTGGCGACAGTTCGGGCAAGGCCCAAGCGACCGCACCCAGGCCAATTAATCAAGGCTAGCAACAATTTCGGGGGAAGTCTCGGGCAGGGCAGGCAGCTGCAATTTGAACTTGAATAACCTTGTAGCATAAAAAAAAGGAAACGGCGGCGAGACAACAACAACAACAAAAGCAGCTGAAGCAACAAAGAGCAGGACGAGCATGTGCAGAAGAACAAGGACGAGCTTGAGGATGAGCACTGCGGATGGAAACAGAACAGCAGAGAGGCAAAGCGAGCCAGGACAAGCATCAAGTGACATTTGAGCAAAGACAAAAAGTCATTATCAAGGCGACAGACGAAGAGCAGCAGCAGCAGCAGCAGCAGACGTAAGGAAGGGGCAGGTTGGGGCTCGTCCTGCGACGCGACTGGCGACACATCATGCATTTTGGTTGGGCATGTGGAGCACGTGGCTGCGATGTCGCCATGTTGTTGCCTTTCCGGCATTTTGTTTACGATTTTTGCCCGCAATCACTAACCAGTAGATTCACCCCACCCCCATCCTTCTCTTCGCCCCTCCCTTTCCCCGCTCCACTGCACTCAGCTCACCCTGCAGCATCCACTTGTGCGGATTTCCTTCAAAGCTGAAGTTGGCGTCAGCGAAGGCAGTTTTCCCTGAACGATTTTCACTTGTTTGTGCCGTTGGCTGCTTTTGTTTAGCTTTTTCTCTATTTGTGTGCCCTATACCCAGTGAAAGTGTCTTGCAAGCGGGTATACTGCAGCTCAAGACAGGGCGCCAAGTCTTTTAAGCTGGCAGACTGCTTGACTTACTAAACTTACATCAAATTTCGCGTATTTGCATGATTTCAATTTCCGATTTTCGATAACATTTATATATTTTACAAATCGACAGATATCGGTAAATCGACGTGTAACTGTGTCTACAATTAGATGCGAAGGAAGAAGCCTAAAGCAGTCCGCAGCTGCCGAGTATAGGGTAACTGCTGGACGAGCACTCTCAAGAGGAGCACCCCTATTTGCTTATTCTTTAAATTTTTTTTATTTTTTAGAGATAAAGCAACTGTCCGCCTCCATTTGAGACTTCTTTAAGCCGCCAAGTGCAATTGTCATAAAGTGTCATTGGCTGGCGACGTCGCTGCCGACGCTGCCGTCGCTGTTTTTGTGCGTGTGTGTGTCTTGTTGTTGATGCGGTGAATCAACTTAAATGAGTATCCGTAACTACAGCAAAATAAAAAGGAGTGAAGTGAGTGATAGAGCGAGCAGGGTTGCCATCCAGTCGACAGCTACTTTTCAGCTGCAGCCGAGTGGCAAAGCAATTGGCTTTGTGCGCGATTTAGCTTTGTGTGTTTTGCAGTAACCATTGATGCCGGTCCGGGACGGACCGGGCTTGGTGAACGGGAACGCCAGGAGCTTAACTAGCCGGGAGAGCAATGTCGGCCACTCGACGGGCGAGTGAAGCTGAGTCCATGACCAGTTGTCGATGACTCAGTCAGCCTTTTGGTCGCTGCCAGCCGCAATGAAGCACCTTTCTGGCCGGGTCCTTGGTTCGAAGTAGCCAAAAAGCAACAGATTGTGACCGACGGACTAGCTGCAGACATATGCCATTCAAAACTATACGTTAGTAGAGCAAAAAAGAAACATAGCTAAGCTGTTTGATGTTTCAGGTCTTGGGCTGATTCTAAAACTTGCTGGACTTCTCTCATTGTAAAGGATGCGCAACATATAAGGATGAGACATAAAGCAGAAACAAAAAACACAATAAAAGATGGTTAAATTTCAAGGCAATGTTTAAGGAAAATTAAATGAAAGAGAGAGTGAGAGAGAGAGAGAGAGGCAGAGTAAAAATGACAGAAAAACATGGTGTAGGTGAAAGAGATTTGGATTGACAATAAAGTGGGTAAGCACAAGTGAAACAGACAAAGGTTTTTAGTGCAGTGTTTAAGAATATGCAGTTTAAAATAAATGCTGTAGAGTAAATAAACGCAGTGGAAAGAGAAAAAGTCAAGCAAGGAAAGTAGCATTAAAGAACTTTTAATACACAGAGATTTATTTGTTATAAATACATTCGTACTTTTGATAAATTAATTGACATAACTTCAGAGCATTGCACAACACTGGACTATACATGACTGTGCATTGGCCACGGCTGGAATCAAGTAAAATGCAAGAGCAAACGAAGTTACACGTTTTATTTATGTGGAATGAAGCGGGTCAGAAAAGGTCAGCGGAGCAGTTTGAGCGGGACAGAAGCGTGGGTGAGATGACTGCGGTGGGGGCTGTCAGGTGGCGTTTGGCTACCTGGGGCCAGTTATGCGTCCACGCAGCTTCTGTAAGCGGCTTAAAAGCAGCAGCAGCAACAGCAGCAGCAGCAGCCAAAACGAATTATGCTGCATAGCCGCAGGCTGGCATGCAGGAGGACAGTCAACGCAGCTGCATGCAACCAATTTGTGGCAGGCAGCCAGTCATGCAACTGGCAACTGCTGGCATGTGGCCAAAGCCAAAGCAAGAGCAAAGCCAGAGCTGAGCTGCGACCAGATTGAAAGTGACAGCGCGATGGCTGCAAAATGTGTGAAGTGTGCCGTGAATGGGAAGCTGAAAAAAAAAAAATACAAAAAATACATTCCCTGACCTACCTGTGGGCGGATGTGGGCTCGTGACGGGGCTCTGCAGCTATCGACAGGTATGCAGCGGGACGGCGAAATCTGTCTTTTTGGCAACGGCGCGAATTGAATGCTGCGCCAAGTGGCAAGCCACGCGGCAACGTAAACAATTGCTGCATAGATGCGCACAAACAACAACAGCATACACACAAACAAACACACACACACACACAGCTACCAGGCAGGAGAAATGACAAATGCCTTAGCGCTGGCAGCACACAATGCCGAGCTTTGGAGTTGGGTTGCAAACTGGCGTCACTTCTGACTTCTGGACGACGCAGACGGGCGACATTGAGCAATTGCCATGCATAAATATTCCCTCTACACACAGCAACACACATACACACACACACACACACATACACACACATACACGCCCGCACAACCACCTGTCGTTATGAAGCGATGGTTTGGAAAGCTTATAAACATAAACAAGGCGCACAAATCAAAACAATACGTGCAACATGTGGCCAGCGCTCATGCGCATTGCAATATTGTTGTTGCAACATTGTTGCTAAGCGCGAAATGTTGCGCAACGTTTCGATATTGTGAGAGCGCAAACGCTTCCAGCTGGTTGCACATGCGCAAACGACACGCCTTCACGTTTAACCAAACAATCTGTAGTCAACTGTTCCCAACGACCAAAAGAGACCAAACAATGTTGGGCTAGAGTTGTGGCATGGCCAACATACGTTAAAAAACGTAACAGCACTCAGCATAGAGTATCTTTTCCTTACTAAAACATTACATACTCTAGAAAATTATACAAATTTAACACATTGTCTAGGTTTGAGTTTACACATTTTTAATTAACGATTTCAGCTTTCAAAATTTGATACTCTGCTGCCAACTAAGAGACTACCACAATTTGGGTACATCTGATCATTTACAGTTCATAATAGGTATTTTAGGTATTTTTAATGCCGAAATTGAGAAAATATTTACGATGATTAATCTGAGGATATGTTCTGTGTCTACCCCACATGCACATCTGGATGACAGTTCCAGAGATGCTCAGGCTGCTAAGTATTGGAATTTTATCCACTGACCTCTCGTTAAAAGCGTTCTCTAAAGCAGTTTAGATAAGAATCTACATGGAAAAATCTCAGTCAGCTGTGAATTTAAACTTATTTTGGGATTGACCACCAGGTAAGACTTGATGTTGCAATACGTCAGCCCTTTGCTGGGTATGCTAGGTACTTAGTTAAAGTCAGGTTATCAGCTTATTATATATATTAATATATATGCAACTCATATCTTCCCAGTATATTTGAGTATAAGAAGTGTTGGAAAGCTGTGCTAGACGTCGCTAACCCAAAGAAAAATACGATGTTAAAAGGAGAACTGTTGCAATCGAAAACAACATTAACAACAACATTTCAAAAAGCTCTTTAAAAGTCCATGATTCAAATATGCAATCTTTAATCCCAACACTTTCTCCCTCTGCCCCAGACATTTGCTTTTATTTGAAGACATTGCGCACAGGTAATCGTTGGCATTTTAATGATGCATAATAGAGAAAACGACAATAACGTTATCGTTATCGACATCGATAACGATAACATTTACTTTGATGTTAATGCTGATGACGTCAAGCTCATGTGACATGTGCCATGGGACATTCAATTAACACATTGCAGCTTTTTAAGTTCAAGTCGATTATGTTGTCAACAGTTGTGGCTGCCAGCCAGCAACCTTCTGCTACACCCACACCATCCCTGTCCGCAGCCCTTGCACATGCCCCTCCAGCTGACTGTGTCATCTGCTGCTGACCCATGTAGAGTCGAGTCCGAGTCTGCTTGCCAAGCAATCAGCATTAATGCGTATACATATAAATTTATGTGTATGCACTTTTTCGCTCATTAATTTCATGAAATGCCACGCAATCGATTGTATACAACGGGCATCATGTGCCTGAGCATGCCGCATGATACCCTTTGAAAATGCACTTCGCATCCATTATGAATTGCTTATATGATACCTTTTTGTCTGCAGGGTATCTGTTAGTTGAGCTGTATCACCAACTGCACTTAATAGTTGTTTGCTTAACTTTTTATATTTAACACTTATTGTGGGCCAGTTCAATTGGCTGCTTGACGGAAGGCTCAAACGTTGCAATTGTATTAAGTTATATTTATTCAAAATACCCTGTAAAAACCAAATTACCGAAATTAACAGGTAAGGCATATGTTTATTACTTGCAATCGAGTCTAGTTAATCCTTAGATGGGAGTTGATCTTAAGTTACAGCAAAAATATATTTGCCAACTGTTCAAGCTCATTTAAGCTACAGTCTCCAAGGACTAGAACTTTCGAATGCACATTTTTAAGAATATCAACTCAATATATTCCAAATTTTAAAATCACCCAAGAAGCAACGCCTTTGGTAGGCATATTAAGTAAGACAAATGACAAAAAATCGATTTCAGGAGTCTTAAGAAATTTTCGGAACATTTTTCTATGAGTTTCAATCCATCGTGTTCCAAGCTAAATGGAAAATATTTATATAAAGTTATATTTTGAAAGAGCTACAGGGTATATGTCAGTGCAGCACTCACGACTGATAAAGTCCAATTTTGAAATCGGGCAATTTCCGCGCCTGTTTCAATCGGCTGGCCGTCAGCTATTTGATGTCAATAAATGCGGCTTCAGCAAAAACCATTTGGGTAAAGACCGAAATACTTATGAGTGAACCATAAAATCAGGCTCTTACCAATTCACGTATCTTTCACTTGCTGATATGGAAACTGTATTTAAATTCTTTTTTTATTGGCGCTTGCGAATTTAAATTTGAGTTTAGTTTATTGTATTCGCTTCAGCCTGCCCGCTGCTGCTTGTTCAGCCCCCGTCGCATTTAGTAATACAATAATCTTTGATTTAATGTTAAATACCGCTTTACAATGCCTGCCGCTCTCCATTCATGCCCCTCGTTACAGTCGACCCTTCATTGCTCGCATTGCAGCATTCATTTTACAAATTAATTAATTGCTGCCGTATGCTAATTAAACAGCATTTTTATAGTGTAATTTCGCTAGCATTTAATACACACACACACACATACACAACCACACACTCGCACATAAAATAAATAAATTCCAAGCGTCATTCTTTCAAATGATGCACAACATTATTATTGGGCCCGGAATGCGAGCAGAACAGCTTATAATATGTATAAATGCATTTGAGTGGAATAGTCACCTCCCAGTTACCCTACATTTTTAGCGGCAATGATAGATGCATATTAAACAGCCTACGATCAGCAGTAGTAGGCTTTCGAATACCCTATTAAGTAGTTCCTTATATAAATTCATTGTTCACACATAATAGAATATACATACATGAATATATAAATAACTTAATATATTAAAAAGCTTGAATGCATTTTTATTAATTTAAAGGCCAGCCTTGCATACTCCGCATATAAAAATCTTTAGAGCTACTCACTCTAGCCGCTACATACTCTGTGTTCCATTAAGCACACGCAGAGCCAATGTAAGGTTACCAACTGGCTGGGCATACGTGTATACCCAAGCCAGCCCATGCTTGACTACAGGGTATTGTAAAAGGATATTCTGCAGCTCGTTGTAATATGTTGCGTTTATCATTTATGTCGGATTAAAGCGATGCCACATAACAGCAATTTATTTGTATGAACAGTTAAGTATGCGAAATTACCGTTATTATGCCGAATGCCTTTCACAACAATCGAGTGATTCGACGCGCCAAATGGCAAATACACCTAAGGCTTAACGGTCACAGGTAACATTTACGCATGAATCACTGTATACACTTTCCACCCATATTCCGTTTTCTTTTGTACACATTAAATGATTAAAATGCCGTTGACTTATTGGCATATATTGGTTCTTATAACAATTCTCAGCCGAATTTACCTTAAACCAAAAAAAATCGTATGCCAATGTGAGTGAAAGGCATATCGAACGGAGAACCAATATCGCAGAAAAACTCACAGGAATATCATTGAAATAACATAGGAAGAGGTCAGGAACACGATCACGATTCGATATCAATGCTTAACACACTATCGACACAGTAAATAACGAATAGGTCCGATAAACAAGCTGAAATAATCATAGTGGAATATATTAAGACCATCCCTGGATCA